TTGTGCAGTGTACTCAGTAGTCAACTTTAACCAATTTAAAGGTATACAAAAATGTTCTAGTCGAAAAAGTTCGAACCTACCCTTCACCAATGAAATAGGTTTTTAATAGGTTTTTTAAGTGTGGACAATTTAAAAAAACAAAACAAAAGAAACCAAAAACAAAAAACAAAACAAAACAAAAAAAAGAGATGCTTACTATATGCTCTGTGTAGATTAAAAGCAATAAGATTTTTTATTTTTTTTTTTCATATAGGGCCATTGATCCTTCAAAAAGTTTTAGAATTCTATAAATTTAAAAAAAAAACATTTAAAAAAAAAGAAGCTAGATATATGCTCTGTGTAGATTAAAAGCAATTAGATTTGTTTAAGTTGATTTTCTTTCATATAGGACCATTGATCCTTCAAAAAGTTTTGGAATTCTATGAATTAAAAACTCGATCCGTGAATTTGCTATGCACAAAAGCAAACCAATTTTCAATCCAAAACTGCATAGTTTTATCCAAAACAAACTTCCCAAAAGCAAATGTATCACTCCCACAATAAAGCTTATCCGTGTAAGCTACAGTGCATTCCCAAATAACTCCTTTGAAAACTTTTAATCAGGCCAGGGCCAGAACTCTGCTAAGGTTAAATTAGTGTTAAAAAAATATCAATCTAATAATTTACACAATTTATTAGTCATGAAAGGTCCATTTCTCATTCATTTTTAAATTTTCATAAGAATTATCTTATCATTACTCTGACTAAAACATCTACATGTACTTTGACTTCAGTATATTTTCCTTCCTTATGGAAATATTTAAATTACCTAGATTTTGGACACACGTAAATGTAAACATTCCTCATTTTCGATGGGTCACAACCCTGAACCATTTACAACCGACACAATTAAACTGCAGGTATTTATAGACGACAAACATTTAATGGGTGGGTTAACCATTATCTTAATGATTAGTAATATCCACGACACTCATTCTATGCAATGGAATGAATGTAAGTTCATGTACCGTACCTACATGTAATTGATAATGATTCCTTGGATCATAGCTAAATTTATTTCCTAATTTTTACCACAGATTATTCCTTATCCATGAACTTTTCTTTTTTTAAAATGATACAAATCCGTCAAAATGCTACACCCACCATAAAATAATAAACCTCACTAACACGTGCTGAAACTAAATGTGATTTCAAAGTTTCAATGCAAGAGCTGACACAAACACAGTGAGATATGCATAACAAGTTTCACATTGAAGTTTGATGAAGACAAAGAATCATAATACAAGACTCAAGGTGACATATTTTTCAACTGGGTTTCAGTGCCTGGGAAGGGCAAGCAACAGGTGGGGCCAATGGCCCCACTGTTCGTAAAATGATGGGGCCATTTTGAAATTTAAGGGGCCGAGGGGAAATATATTGGGGCCATTCTAAAATAAATCATAGTATGATGCTATAGGATAATACATATATCTCTGACAATAAAATTTAGGAAAATTGTAAAGAAAAATGCGATAGGAATTGACAAGTCATATGACATTGACTAGTACAAATGATTTTTCCGTCAATTGTCATCTAGATTCTAACCAACTAGTATTTAGAAAAATTGCATTTAAACCAAAAGCACCATTTTTTAACGATGCCGATTTAGAGATCACGGGACAGGCTAAAAAAAAGTGGACTTCGTTGTAAAGGTTTATTGTAAGGTATATAAATTTTCCATGTGCGTGACTTTCGTAAAGCTGTGGTCAACCATCGAAAACGACTTGACACTTACGAATCGAACAACATGAAAAAAAACTGTTTCTTTGCCAGTGGATGTCAATATGCCGAATGATGGTTCCGATTTTATTTTATAATATATCACAGATTCCATCTAACTTCGATGAAGAATACAGCGCGAACTGCGATAAACTTACAAAGTAATAAAACATGCATACCCGCATTTTGCGGGGTGCGCCGCATGGCGCTGCGCACCATTATTTCATTGCGCCATTTTTCGACAGTATGCGCATATGGCGCATGGCGCGGCCCCTTCCCAGGCCCTGGGGCTTTCGTTTTCTGTTCCTTTGATTGAAATGATTAAATTGCCTCTTCAACATATGACATTATTATGTCATGACTGTATGCCGACATGGTAATTGTCAATAAAGTGAATTGAATTGAATTAGAGCCGAAGAATTACCAGACGTCTTATCAATTATGTTAAATGTGAATTTCACAGCTCCCGATGCTAGTTCATCCTTTCTTCATCTAAATTTTATGCCTGTTAATATTTCAGATTTTCTTAACCTACTCGTTTGACTTTAGAAAAAAAAAATAAGAGGAAAACAAATATATATTGGGGAAAAAAACAAGCAAACACAAGACATCGATTTTGCCTGAGAGCACATCGGAATCATTCTCACCCTAGATAGTCGAATTCCTGAGCGTTGATCCTCTTTTTCCTGCCTTTTTTTCTGATGGTCGATTTCTTTGACCGTACAATGTAAGTGTTCCCCCAACTGCAGCCGTGTTTAACACGTCCTAAAGTACCAATTGCAATTCCACTTTTGTAGGAGATCAACCTCTGTTTCTGTTTTATTTTTTGGAATTTTCCCTGGATTGTCACAAAACTCGGACGTAAACTCTTTCCTGTGATAACTGCTTGCTTTTTTTCTTTTGGAGAATTTGCCTCGATTAAATGGTACATGTAGCATTAAAACTCAGTCCCATCAGGCCTCTGATGATATCCTTGATAATCTTTGTTTGGTCTTTACTTTGGTATAAAGATATATGTAGTCTTTTTCAGGCTATTAATATACTCGTAGACGATTGCTAAAATCATATTTACCTTGCGGTTAGTTGGAACTAAATTGGGGATCACATTTTACATAATGCTTGTATACAGGGTGAAAATTCTTTTCCAATCAGTCAGCTAGTCATATTAACAATGAAAATCCCACGTTGTGAGATTTCCAATTCGGTTAAGTCATGTTCCCTATTTAAGGTGGAGTCAGAATTTTGGGTCAAAATTATTTCTGAAAATGATTAATTCTTTACAGTAAAATTGAGTCAAGATGACTTGGTAGGCGTTGTGGCCCACAGGCATCTTCTTTCACTTAAAATATTCAAAAATCAATAAGAAATTAAAACGTATTATTAAAAATTCCTAATAAATAGATATTCATAAAATTGCCTTGTATTAACAAAAGAGCAAAAATGTTTTGTAAAGATATGAAATTTCAATCTGTGAATTCCTTTCTTGTCTTTTTATTTAAACAAAATGAGATTTTCATTTAGGAGCGGGGTTTGCTGTAGTTACATCCGCTCATTAAATTTTAAAAATAAACTCTGTTTAAAATGAAAAACATTAAACGAAATATAGAAATTAAAACGGTCAACTGTGAACGAACAAGATGACTTAAATCACATTCTACAATGGCCCACTTTCACTACCGTATCTAAATTTCTTTCAGGATGAAATAGCTAAATATTTTACGTAGATTTTGAACATACGTGAATGTAAACATTCTTCGTATTCAATGGGGCATTAAGAGCGCATGACTCTGACGCACTCCCCATGTACAAATTGCAGGTATTAATACACGGTTAAAGGGTGGGTTCGCTATTTCTTTAATGTTAATTATACCCTCACGCCCATCTCTATTCAAATAACTTCCATATACGTAAATACATGTAACCTCTCTGAATGTATCTTGTTCAAATACATTGTACAAATATGAACCACAATTATTCTTTTTTAAATCAATATTTCTATTCCTAAGGGGATAAAAACACAACAAAATGCCACACCCACAAAAAAAAATAATAATAATAACCAACTTTGTAACACACAATTCGATAACTTAAGTTAATTTGTATATTTTTTTCCTTTTCATAAACCTACAAAAAAAATTACGCATTTATTGCAATACATTTTGACGAAAACAAAAAAAGCTCTTAACTGCATGTATATTCTACAGAAAGATAGAGTCGTTGGTAATCTAAAATCCTGCGTGAATAGTGTCATCTCAGAATAGTAAGATATTCTTCTGATCACACTATGTGGGGTGTCTTGATTTATAATATTATCAATAGAGCCCTATCTTTACAACAGAACATCTGACCCAGGGTTTAAGAAACTCACAATTCTGGAAGAGGCAGCCTTGCTCATCATAACTATTCACTTAGTTTCTTTGCTTTATAACCAGGAGCAGAAAGAAAAGGAAAATTTAAGAAAATTCAAAGAAATTATGCTTTTTCACTATATAATCAATAGAGCCACCCCACCTTTCACCAGAACCCCCGACCCTGGGTCCATGAAATTCACAATTTTTGGGGTTGTTTATCATATCTACATGTATTTCTATATGAAAAGCCCAGAAATCTTAATGAAATTTTGAAAAGTAATGTCATCAAGCCTCTAGGTAAAGCTAGCTGGAACAGTATTTTTAAATACATCCCATTGCTCTTCAAATAAAAATATTTTATCTATAGACAAAAAAAGTCCTTGAACGGGCTGATATCCTCCATCAAAAATATGTATGATACAAACATGTATATTGCTTATAAGAATAATAACCAGGTAAATTTTGACAAAATCTGGGAGCACTGGAAGAATCTCTTCATGTTTAATAACAGAAAATATATACATGTATGTATTCCTAAAGTATTTAATGCACCAGGAACTGTGAATTTAAAAAAGCCTTCACAGTTCATAACTAAGCCGTGTACATGAAGATGTTCATTACCTAGAATCTAAAATGAACTATTTTATAATTAAATTGTCCTTAATCTTTTACTTAGGTGTTGAGTTTATACAAGTAACAGTGCAGTACTTTGTTCGTTTTGAAATGTAAAGCAATAACAGCATTCTCAGACTGGTAATAAGTGTAAATAATGTATAAATGACAAAAGCAAATTAAAGCAAAAAATAAAAAAATAAACAAAAATAAATTTAAAAAATAATAAAAACAAAAGAAAAATCATGAAAAAACAAAAACAAATGAGAAATGCCAATATATTATATTTTTTTTTTAATAGTAACAACATAATTCAACATAACAATTGGATTTGAAAAATGGCAAAAAAAATCAACTTTGTTGATGAAAGACGCGATTCTTATGCTATACACTGCTCAGTCTTATCCAAAAGACGCCTGCATTTTCTGACATCTGTCTCTCACACAGTCTCGCATTCAGTAGTTCGAGTTCTTAATGAGCACAGACTTCTTAGGAGTTAAGAATGATACAGTGGTAAAAACAAGAGGCCCAGGGGCATCGCTCACCTGAGCACTCTGGCTAGGAAAAAGCAGAAATCAGTTCAGTCTTGAAAAGTTTTGATATAAAAGTGGTTCGAGGGGGTTGGGGGGGGGGGGGGGGGTGTTAATTTGAACTTGAATCTATACTTCAAAAGGATGCTTTTGAATTAATATGACAAATAATGGCTATGATGGTCTTAGGAAGACAATTTTTATTGATATATCATTTGTATTCCTTTGTATAACTATGATCCCCTGTTATGGCCCCTCTATTCTCCTTAGGGGTCATGATTGAACAAAATTTGAATCTACATTACCTGAGGATGCTTGCATTTAAATATGACTAATTATTGCTTTGCAGAAGAAGATTTTAAAAGGCTTGCTTTTTCTTATGTATTCCTATGTAAAACTTTGATCGCCCATAGTGGCCCCACCCTACCCCTGGAGGGTCATGATTTAAACAAATTTGAATCTACACTACCTGAGGATGCACCCATAAAAAAAAACAATCATGGCTTTGCTGTTCTTGAGAAAAAGCTTTTTACAAATTTTTCCAATGTATTTATGTAAAACTTTGATCACCCATTGTGGCCCCCACCTTACCCCCGGGGGTCATGATGTGAACAAACTTGAACCTGCACTACTTGAGGATGCTTCCATGTAAATATGACCAATCATGGCTTTGTTGTTCTTGTGAAGAAGATTTTTACAGATTTTCCCTATGTATTCTTATTTAAAACTTGGATCGCCCATTGTGGCTCCACCCTACCCCCGGGGGTCATGATTGGAACAAACTTGAATCTACACTACCTGAGGATGCTACTAAATAAATTTAACCAATCATGGCTTTGCTGTACTTGAGAAGAGGATTTTTAAAGAGTTTCCCCTGTATATTCCTATTTAAAACTTTGATCATCCATTGTGGCCCCACCCTACCCCTTGGGGTCATGATTTGAACAAACTTGAATCTTCACTACCTGAGGATGCTTCCATATAAATATGACCAATCATGACTTTGTTGTTCTTGAGAAGAAGATTTTAAAAGAGTTTTCCTATATATTCCTATGTAAAACTTTGATCGCCCATTGTGGTCCCACCCTACCCCCGGGGATCATGATTTCAACAAACTTGATTCTACACTACCTGAGGATGCTTCCATATAAGTTTCATATTTTCAAGCACAGTGGTTCTTGAGAAGAAGATTTTTAAATGATGCCATTAATTTTTCATGAATTCATGATTATCTCCCCTTGGAAGAAGGCGTGGCCCTTCATTTGAACAAACTTAAATCCCCTTCACCCAAGGATACTCTGTGCCAAGTTTGGTTGAAATTGGCCCAGTAGTTCTGGAGAAGAAGATGAAATTGTGAAAAGTTTACAACGACAATGCCGACGACGACGACGACGACAGACAACGGACAAATTTTGATCAGAAAAGCTCACTTGAGCCTTCGGCTCAGGTGAGCTAAAAATACAATGGTTATGCGTATTATTTACATATATGGTCTAAATAAAGAAGCGAATGAAATAGCAGGCCTCATTTACGATACTGAAAAAAAGAGTAGAAAAGAGTCCTTAACTGTTATTTCTCTTTGGTCTTTGTTCTATCTTTTATGGAAATGAGTGAACGAGTCTATGGATTTGTCAAGTTTGAAATATTTTATCTAAATTCAGGTAGAAAATGTTGATATTAAGATCACTACAGTTGTGAACAAGAGGGAGAGGGAGATGGAGGAAGTGGCGTCACCAGAGCCACTCGTATCACTGACAGACAGGACAATTTGCGGGTCATACAGAACTGATGACGTGAAGTTTGGAAAGCGGAAAACAAACATTTGTTGACTGCCGCGCGTCTCAAGTTTGGGATAACCTTCTTCCATGTTTGTGTAGTTTCCACCATCAACTTGTATCTGTCAAAACAAAGAAATCAAATAATGAGGAAAAAGGTTTCAAACAAAATAATTCAGACATATATGTATAGTATATGAGTTTAAAAGTCGGTACATGATTCCTCGTAACTTTATTACCTTCCTGGACAGAAGAACAGCAGCGCCTCCACCTAAGTCGTATTCTTCGCCATCCGTCCTCTTGTTTTCCATTTTCTTCTGTCCCGTTCCTTTGCCTTTGATTGAAATGGTAAATTCTATTGCACTTCCAACTTCATTAATATTGCCTGCTTTACATGTGACCCCATTAGATCCACAGAATTGCCAGTTGTCTATTTTAATGTTGAATTTCACTGTTCCTGAAGCGACTTTCGTGGTTTCTCCATCTACATCGATTTCCCCATCCTTTGTAAATATGTAAACTTGCACAGTAAGCGTGGCCCCAACAGACACGATGTTGGCGGTGAAGTTCAACCTTTTTGCCGAAAGACCCATATATGTAACGTCTTCCGTTGAAGAAAATGTGAAGTCAAGGCTTGCAAAGGTGTTAAAGCTGTGTTTTTGTGCACCATTTGTTCCGACGGGTGAACCAGTGCTACTGATTTCCTTCACTTCATCAAACGTCACCTGTACTCTGTTGCCATCTCTACTGGGGTCGACGCCCTGCCCAATCGTCATTTTCCCGGACCTTCCTAGAATCTTGGTTGTTATCTGGGCAGCAGACACAGTTCCTTCAGATGAAGGAGTCTCGGTCGGGCTTCCCTCCGATGTATCATTTCCCTCTAAGTTCAACTGAGGGTCGTAAAACACGGAGGAGTTGAATTTCTTAAATCGGAATACAAAAAACTGGCTTGACCCTTTCGTTATAGTTTTGGGGAATCCCTCTGGCAGATTATCGTAATTTGAACTGTCATCGTATCGGGCCTGAAAATGTGGTCAAAAAGCATTGATTTAAACAATATTTATTCAAAATAATGAATAGATTGGGCAACAGGCAATGCCTATAAATACCCTCTCTATACAAGAATCAAAGTTACAAAATACAATGGACTGAGTGAATATATATATATTACAATGCGGGTAAACACACACAGACACACATACACGCAAGCACACACAGACACGCAAAGATCCAGATGAATTAAGCATAGCACATAGTATTAATGAAATATAGTAAATATATATATATATCAAAAGGAAATGTATTTAAAAACGTTTTGTTGACCTAATATATTCTTGTACATAATTTGTAACGTTGATGTTCGTTTGATACGATAACTTCGAACACCCATGTAAAAGCATTGATTGAAATATCATTTGAAGTAGCAACAACCTCATATGAAAAATCACAATTCAATTATATATGAATATTTGCTCTCTTTATATATGATATAATAATTTTTTCAAATGTAGAAAAGAAGTTGGGCGAACAAGGCTAGCAAAATGCTTATGGTGTGATAAATAAGAAAGTGAAAAATTAAATCTCAATTATGACACAATTTTCTTTGACGTTTCATTGAACATTATCATATGCTTTATGTAAAATCTCCACAATTTGCAGTTCAATCTCACAAAGATTTAAATTAGTTGTCTATGAAATAGCATACACCCACTAAATAAGGCAAAAATGATCATTTCTTAATACTAAAGCGCAATTTTTCCATATGAGTAGGTATTCGCTCCTTGTTTTTGAAACTTTATCCTCGAAGTATGCGTAAAATGTACATTTTACGCATTTACAAAAAAAAAACAACATTTATTCATGCATTTACAAAAAACATGGAACCAACTATACCTTAAAAACACGCTTTTAAGACACAACATTCGTATCTTTCAGAGAAACATTTGAAGTCCGTTTAGTCAAGGGTGATATCATAGACATGATTTAAATGTCAATATTTGTAATGAGTTGTGTAGCGTAGTAGTTAACGTGTTAGTCTCTAGGAAAAAATGATACTCATGATTTTTATTGCTTGAGTTCGAACCCCAAGAATACCACTTTTTTGTAATATGGAATAATTTTTACCGAAAGAATATTCCGCAGAAAAGTTTTGTTTGTCAAAATTTCATAAATTTCAATAACAAGAACTTTAAACTAAGTACTAAATTCACAAATTGAATATGATCTTTACACATTTGAAGCTCCAATGTTTAGGCATTTTGTACGCATTGTTCGCCCATCTCCTTAATCAAAAAACAATAACAATTTGTTTAAAGCAAGTGTTCAGTATGAAAATGCAATTTCTTTATTACATGGCTTTTAATGATCTATTTTTTTTTCAACATACACGTTTCACTTTGAAAGAAATAACATCCTTACCTTGCCTGAGAGTACAACAGAAGCTTCCCCACCCAAGTCGAATTCCTGGGCATTCGTCCTCTTTTTCCTACCATCCTTTTTGCTTGCCGATTTCTTGCCCTTTATTGATATCGTAAAATCAATGAATTCCCCGTCATAAGTTGTTTGTCCCTTTTTGCATTCCTCTCCATTAGTTCCACAAAATGACCAATTTTGAATGATAATGTTGAATTTTAATGTCCCTTTTGATACTTGAGTAACTTCGTCACCCTGAGTGATATTTCCCTCCTCACTAAACAGGTAAATTTGGACCGTTAATGTGGCCCCCACTGACGCTAGGCTAGCATTGAAGTCCAGTCTTCTGGCAGTCAGATTCTGGTACTGGTCTTCTGTGATGTTAGAAACTGTAAATTTCTGGCTGGCAAACGTGTTGAAGCTGTGTTTGACACGCCCACTTGTGCCTATGGCGTTTCCACTTTTGTCTGTCTCTTGTATAGCATCGAAAGTCACTTTCAGGCCGTTGGGATCCTCCGCTGGGTTTCTGGTCCTCCCCATGAGAATTTTCCCAGACTGTCCCAAAACACGGACATAGACTCCTTCTTGCGATAACTCTGTGCCATTTTCATCTGAAGAATTTTGGGGAACAGTAGGACTCGGCTGCGTTGTTGACGAAGAGTATTCTGTAGACTCGGTTGTAGAAGACAATACGTATGAAACAGTTAGTACTAAAATAAGTCCCAAGCCTCTGATGATGTCCATGATTGACCTCTCTGCACTATACGCAATCGTCTGAGTTTTTATTTGGTTTCTCCTGTTTATATACGTGTCCTCTTCCGGGCTGATGACTGTTCAGGTCACAGCATGACTTATACAACATGACGCCTTTGAATTGTATAGAAATCAACAATACCCCGATATGAAATACCCACATGCACGATATGCGTTTACAAAAATTTCAATGCAGTTGTGAATCATTAAATATTATATAAAAACTTTATTACACCGTACAAAATCGGTGCATATAAGTGACATCGTAGGCACGTAGTACTGGGGAGAGGGGGGGGTCTCCTCCCCCCACCTTTTCCCAAACATAACCTTTTACTGTTGAAAAATGTTCAGTTTTGGTTGCAGTTTAGTCAATCATCCCTTGATATATATATCAATAAAATTTGTTTGTGAAAAAGGTTCGATACTATGTGCCTGCATTGACGTGTACAAGTCAAAAAGTACTTTTGTTGTTTTTTTTCCTCTTTGCGATATAAGCTGAATCATACCACTGTGACTGTGAGTGTAAAAGGAACTTAGTGATGTTGCGGAAGGATTCATGATCCAATTTTAGATAATGGAAAAAAGAGCCAGATGCTTACAAAATCAATATGTCACCCTGCTGCGGCATGTATTTACCGACAAATGATCTAAATAATTTATACGTCATAGCTTTATACCCTTATGAGGTTATAATGATGTAGCCACTATTCTCGGTCGTTGTTTCACAGTATTGTTGAAGGTAAATTAAGTTAAAACTTAAATTTCACATCGGAGTTCCGACAGATTGGGGTTGATATTAGATTTGAGAGGTAAATAGAAAAACAGGGTATTTAGATATCGAATCATTCTCTGCGTTTAACATTTTCTTTTTATACCCCCGTGTATCATTTTGACAAAATCCAACTCCCGTTTAAGAAGACTATTATATATATCATAAATATTTTTTATATACATTGAAATAAGATTTTTTAAACTGCTAGTATCAATGTTTTTCGATTAGTATTGTAACGAAACCGAGGGTATAAGGTTATTACTTAATCAGTTAAACGTGGGCCGCTGTTGGTTTCTGGTAACTGGTCAAGGATGAAATGGTTGTCCACAAAATTTATATAAAATCGGAATAACGACCAATTTTTTGTCCACTAAATAATTGGCGAAATGACCAAATTTTAGTTCACTATAATATCTGCACTAGAACCGTGATGAATAACACGTTGTAAAGTTTATGATGTTTAAAAATGGTTCAGTTATAAGCACAATGATTCACTTGGCTGGTACAACATTATTTGGTTAATACAAAGATGAAGAACCAATGGTCAATCCAGGACGTTTCTACTCTAAACTGCTAAATGACTCTTCACTAATGATTTCGTATACATAGACTTGGTACTGTTTGTACATACCACTGTTTTACATCCGAAGTATACGGAGTCCCTACCCACTGCAGACTGACTTCTAAACACAAAACAGCTGTCTTTTATAGACAAAAGTTGTTATGATGACGTAGAAACATCAGAAACCAATAACGTCACAATTAATATCTGATTTGTAAGTTAGCGGGGTTTAACCACTAAAATTACTAAATAACGTTGTACCTATATAGAACATATACAGTATAACGCTTTGTCATTACAATACATAAATCAAATTGATAAATTCAAATAAATCAATTATTGTTCAATTCTTTCGTTATTGTTCATTGACAAATATTTTAGCTGTTTATATACATCTGGTTCAGGGTCTGCTACTGCTAGTATCAATGTTTTTCGATTAGTATATTTTGACAAATATAGAAAAATCACACAATACACCATCCTGAAACCGAACCCCTATATATGTTATAATGTGACACTTCATTCTGTTCAGCCATGTATTACTTCCTGTTTATTAGCGTACCACGGCCTGGATATTAGAGTTCCAAGGCCTACTTAGTCACACAACCGTTTGAGATCATATGATCTTTTCATATTTCCTTCAGGGTGTTTTTCATAAAGACCTAAGTATTAGTTTTTTTTAAATACGCCCTTTTAAGTTGCTTTCTTATGCTTAGCTGCGAGTACTGGAATTGTAAATCAATATCGGTAAACAAGATTACAAAACGGTGGATGAGCTGAGTTGGTTTGTGGGTCACGTTGTTCACACATCAGTCTGGAACATTCATCATTTTTAATAGAATAAGTGTCAAACTAAAGCTTGAAATTGAAATCTTTTCGGTGAAATAATTTTTTATTTCATGCATATCATTATGATTAAACAGTTTTTGAAGTCTTAAAAAGGTATTGTAAAAAGTTGACATTTGTACCCAATAAGAGTACAAAAATGAATACATTTTTAGAGAAATCGAATTTCTTTTGTTGCCTTAAAAACCAGTGCTTATTGGTGTAGTATGAAATTGGAAGTGATCAGTGATGTCTTGCAATGATACCACTAGCTTTTTACACTATGTATTATGTAACAATTGAAGTTAATAGAAGAACTAAAATACCTTAGTATAAAAAACACATTTTTTTTTTCAAATGCCTGGATACATATAGTTTTTTTTTCTTAAAATATACTTGTTGATCGATTTTTAATTATACAATGAACAACAGGTGCATTTATTCGCGATTCCTGAAAGTATAATTGAGAATTGATAATTTTCCCTATATGAAATGATTAACTATAATAATGAACTTTTAAGAAATGCCATTTGTAAATATACTAAATACTTTGTGAATTCAGAGACATTATTGTGAGTATTTTCAAAAACTTAATTGTTTATTTTCATAACCTGAGGATCGGACTACCTTTAACGCTCAAAGTCAGAAGCACTGAGACCCACATACATTTTCTTATGAAGAAAATATCTATATATAGACTAGACTGCATATCTTGAATTCGGACTGCACATGGGTGCTTACACTGACTATGTACATGAATATTTGACATTTATGGCCTATAGACCCAGAGAGAAAAATCACAATGTATTAGGAAAATAGACCCTTGTTGTAACCTCGTATTCTAAAATTTGTATAGCTTGAAAAATTTAAATCTCCGTTGCATTGCAAGTAATTCAAATAATAAATTCTAAACATTTTCTATGTATATATGAATTTCTTTGCAAAACTTTGACCTGTTTCTGAAATTCTAACACCGCATAGCTAGTCTGTTGATGCCTCATTTGAACAAACTTGAATCAACATTACATGAGGGTGCTAGGATATTAATTTGATTTATTGTGACCCTGTTAATTGTTCCTTAGAATATGTTTAAAGTTTGCTTAGACACAGATGTGTAAAATACTATAGTATTCCCCAACATAGCCCTTGGGATCATGTTTTAGATAACTTGTATCTGCAAAACTTGGGGGGGGGGGGGTCATGTTGTAAATTTGTATTTACTGCCACCCGGTAGATTCAAACTTTACAACATGACAGGTGCTTGCATTTATGTCCTGTTGTTCTTGTTTTTCACATATACAAGTGCATTATGCATAACTTTGGTCCCCTAAAACAATGCAGTCCCATCCAACCGCCAGAGACAAGTATTACATGTAGTACATGTACATGTATATATGTGACATTAGATTGTTTTCGTTATTTATAAACCATATTCCCTCGAAAGAAAGTACATGTATTTCCTAATTAGATCTCCGATGGTGAGGGGGGGGGGGGGTATGCGCATGATGTCAAACTTGAGTGTTCTAAACTTTTGTGTCGCAAGAAGCAACGGTATTTAGGGTATAAAAAGGCTTCATGCACAGTCAGCTACCCTAGGAAGGTTTTTTTTTTCAAACAAAATATATGCAGAGTTGAAAGAAGCTCTAAGTTTGTTTGAAACTTGGTTTTATTTTTAGATTGAAAATTTTCTGTTTTAGAGGTCAAAGTCACAAATTTAACTGATATCGATCTTAAATGGTCCCCCTGTAAAAGATTATGTTAGGTTACACCTCAGATTGATGATATCAGAGGGTTTTTTTTAAAAGAAAAGTAGATGTATTCATTCATGATAAGTGTTATAATCTTGATAAAACAAGGTCGTGTGCGCATATTTTGTTTGACTGAAATATACATGAAAATTGTTAATTCTGAATTGACTGGGTTGAGGTAACTGCAAAATCTACTAAGCTTATATTATGAAGAGATAAACTCATTTATGATTGTTGTTACTGAAATAAAAAAAAAAAAAGGTTGAAGATAACGGTCATAGAATCCTGATAGGACCACGTAGTTCACTATCGCACCATCGATCATCGACTAAAGGGTCGATGGCGCGATAAATCGAGGGCGCTATACATCGTACATCCTGTAACCCGACGGTATTTGCAAAAGAGGCCTTTGTAACGACCATAGAATTTGCAAAATGCTGATATAAAAAGAGATTGTTGAATGCCCTGTGACATCAACTTATGTGTCAGTATCCTGTCTCCGTTTAATTTGATCGTTTCACAGATCACGTTGCATCAAATTTTAACATCTTAAATGCTAGACTATTTCTGCACATTTTCGATATAATACGTCTGATTACGTCAGCTAGTGAGAAATAACGAGGAAGAAAAGAGAAGGAAATGTTCTTCTTGTATGTGTTTAAAACCATCTCCAGCCAAATTATTTTCTTAATGTCAATCATTTGAATAAAATTAACAGGAACTCTCTTCTATTTATTACAACAATTAATTAAGATGATACATATGGAAAATAAGAAGTATTCTAAGTACACATTTCAAATTTATATAATAGGTTGTTGACTTTAAATACATAACCTTGCTTTATGTAACGGACTTGCAGCATACACAAGAGGATGTAGCAAGAGAAGTGCGTTGTTTCTGTGTGTCAGTGTCTCTTTGTGTCCGTTAAATATTAATTAAGTAACAAACTGAAATAAATACAAGGAAGGTTCAATTAAAAATTTAGTAAAATGTTTGAGAATACGTCAAGTCAATGCATTGCATAGCAGCCCTTTGCAACAGCAACAAAAAGAGTCAAATAAAAAATACATTGTACATGTTTATGACAAAACGGTCGCATAACACACGCATACAGGCATGACGCAAAAGCAAACTAGCAAACAAAACAGAAACAGAACTTTAAACTGGCT